TTGTACCAGCCAATCAAGTATAGGACAAAAGTCTTAATTTGCTTCCTTTACATGTCAGTGACCTGCACTACTGACTAATGATGGAAAAACAAATATGATAGGCCAATAAATACCATTTGCCGCCGGCATAGTAGACGGTTGGTCAGGAACTTGCGCGTTCGCAAAGTTGCTGCACCCTCACTCTATAATGAAAGAAAAAAAAAAAAAAAATCAAATCATGTTACAGTTGCTGGAAAAGATCAATTCCATCTTTAGTTAAAAAGAAAGCAGTTCCACCAAAACAAAACGTAAGCTAAGAATAATACTGAAGGGCAACATACAGCAGTGCCTTTAGTCTCCTTTCTATGTACACACTGTGCCAAGATGTACAGCCTCCATACCACTGCTCTTTTTATTATGGACAAGTCTCCCTCAGTACTAACTCAATTTATTTAGAATTTGGTGCAGGGATAATGGGGTTCAAATAACACTAGTGGACTGGTTAGTCTTTCACTGCAGTTCAGTCAATTTTGATGCACGATCCCCGTATGATAAACATATCGGGTCGACCGATGCCTTCTGTCATAAGGAACAACCACAGTCTCTGGGTAAAGACAACTATAGGACGCCAGCTGTGTGGGAATCTGATTTTGAGAATGATGACAAAGAGCAGTATGCTACAGCTGACGAGAAACACTGCCATGTTTCACAGTCAAATCAAATACTAGTTAGATCGACACTTCAAACTTCAACGTGCAAGTGCTACAAGTAAACCCAGGCTTAATTACATTTGAAACAACTAGGTAACTAAAATGTTACTGAGGAATGCTCTCAGATATTCTTGATGTCTGATGGGCTTTTGAACGTTTGATTCGAACAGATATTTTCTATGATATACGCTCATACCATGATTGCTTCCAAGATGGAGGGACAAAGAGGGCGACACTTACTTCCTACTCTCGAAGTTTCACGCAAGAGAGGCAGACTAATGAGACCAAACAAACTAACAAATCTTGCGAGTGCATTTTGCAATGCCGAAATGAAAGTAAGTAAATAGAGTGGAAGTATAATGATTATTTGTTGTTTGACGTGATGAGATTTTGACTTCCACTTTCTTTTGGTGTAAGTTGGGGATTTAAAAGCGAAATTTAGTGAAGGAGATAGTTAATGTTGACGTTAATTTCTTTCGCTTTATAGCAAAGTGTGACCAATTTTGGCACCCTTCATGACATTAGACTTGTGTATTTCCCATTTCCTTATGAGCTCCATATGGATGTTTTCCTAGTAACGACACCATAGATTGTATGTTTACGGACTTAAGCATTTAATTATAAGATTGCATATTCAGATTATAATTTTACAATGCTAATTAGACAAACAACAATGCTCCAACAGAAGAGAATGAACAATTAAATTGCTTGCCCTGTAACTAGTTACTTCAACATACAACATTGATTTTCTAGAGTCAAAACGGAGAGGCCAGTCTTACGCTGTGTTACTCTGACCTGCCTTTTATGTCGCAGGAGTAGTAAAATGTCTGCACCCCCATTCAAGAAACTGAGACAGACTAGTATTACAGATAGTTTCAAGGTTACTGAAGTAGGTATGGGAAGTCAGCAACAGGACGGTGATAGAAAAGTTTGGAAAGGTACGAGAAAAAATGTTTTTATTTGAGATGATGTGCATGTAGAATATAGGAAGGAAGATAAATGAATGGATATTTTAAGCACACTTGCTGTAAACTTTGTAATAATTAAATGTCTTTAAAATGATAAAATGATATATTAGATTAAATTTGGACAAAGAAGTGAAAGGTTATTACATTTTCCCAGGCTGTCACCTTCTAAGGGTTAATCTTGTTTATACATTTGTGCCATTTTGCAATTTTTCCTTGATATTTTAGATTTCAACTTCACAAAACCAGACAAAGAAGATCTTCAAACCATTCCAAACCAAGACCACACAGCTGAGAGGTAACTAGAAAATTATCTTTATGTCATATCAAAAGGTTTTGTCAACTCTTTTATCTCATTGCTCCTTGCTATCTAAATACAAGCATGTCTTTTTTTCAAGTTGTTTAATAATATTTGATCATTGGTGATAATGTGTGTATGGATAAAAACAATTTTTTGTCCTAAAATACAATAAGTACAGATTATCAGAAGAAGTTTTTAATGAAAAAACATACATGTACAGGCATAAAACATGTTCTGGCTAGTTTCTTTTGGATATATATGTGTCATCTGTATTTCTTCTTGATTTAGTGAAAAAAAGTCGATGTAGTGTTTATATTCGCAAGTTTTATTGAATTAGCTGTGTTTGTGATATAAATAATGCTTCTGTTTTATTGTTTCAGTAGTTCTGGTGATATTAGTTCTGATGCCATGGGAACTGCTTGTGAGAAAACCGCATCTGGTCAGTTTGAATCAATATATGTAAAATGTTATAGTAAGTTAGACCGAAATGTTAAGGCTACTGACATTTGGAGGGATGATTTTTTTTCATGATCATAGTAGAACTTAGAATTTTGAAGAACTTCACATTGTTGTTCAATTTCTCAGTTTTTTTTTAAATCCTTAACATGTTTTTTCAACATTTTTTTTTATTTGAGAATTAGAGATCCAGCTGTAGGTTATTGTAAAGTTGTTTAAATCTGTTTTGTAGTGGCATCAGTGAGTCCAGCACATGATGCAGGGAAATTAGAAGAGGCAGCTTTCAATTCACTTGGCACAGATTCCACCCTGGAAAATTCACAGTAAGATATCTAAGCCTGATTATCATAAGTCTACATAGCTGATGCATACTAACTGCATGGGAGGTCTAGCTGAATGCAATCAGATAAACAGACAAGCATGCCTAATTCTGGCTCTGAGTTGAATATAGAAAATCTGGTTATTATATGAGTATGTTGGAAACTGTAGGAGGCATGTTAGTATGTTAATCTGATTGCATTCAGCAAAAGTCCCCTTGGAGTTAAGAGCTCATTGGCTAAGTCCACAAAATTTATTGTAAATGGGACACTTTGGCTGAAATAAAAATCTTCTGTCAGAAAGGTCTACCTTTGGTGGGAAGTTGACCTTTGAACTTGTGTTATCCAGTGACCAGTTTGAAATGATCTTTTTGGGGCCTTCTATTGATAATGCTTTTTGATGTTTCACATGTATGTCTTGGCTTAAGTATTGCGTTCTTTTATAAAGGCCCATGAGTCCATCCACATCTAAGAGTTCCCCAGGATGGACCTCCGAGGATAAAAAGTCATTTGTAAGTAGTAACTTAATGACTGTACCATTTGGGTATTTAAATGGTATTAACATTTCCTAAGTTGCTTGTCTTTTGGTAATTTAAAAAATAACTTTTACAATTATCTATTTTGAAATTAAAAATGTGTTCAAGTTAAAAGACAATTGCCTTATATTTTGTGGATTTAAACTTATTTGGAAAGTATGGTATTGTTTTTCGTAATAAAAATACATTGGAAGTTATCTTAAATTATGTTATAATATTATTTTTATTTCCTAACGATTGGCCTGATGTTAATGTATCAATCTGTGTCACATTAGGGTACAGATCTGCGCCATTTCCATCGCATGCCAGAGTGCTTCAACAAAGAGTTTCCAAAACTCAAGCATGATGATCGGCACCATGTTCTTATCAATGTAAGCAGACCCATAGATTAACGTCAACAGTGTCTTGTTTGGCAGTGATGATATTTGTTTAGATTGGTATTATCCATGTGTATAAAACGTTGTCTAATGTACATTTATTGTAGTTTGACTTTCAAAGATGACCAGTTGAGTTAAACTAATGGAAACTACAGTATGCCTTCAGTTTCAGTCAATTAGTACTACAGTATTTTTAGTTGACTGAAAGGTTTTGAACAAAAAACATAGCACATCAGTTATGTTGTTTTGTGTAATTTTATGTCACAATGATTGGTTTTTTTTTTTCAGCCTGACAGTATTCTGGGAGGGGCAAACAGAGTTCCTACAGTGCCAGGCAAGAAAAAAGATTTGTGGGATCCAAACCATGTCCATATGCCTTGTTCTGTGGAAAACTTGTACCCTGTTGAAGGAAAAAATGTATGTAAAATACAGGGAAAAATAGTTATTTTTTGAGACGAAATATCTAGTAGTATTGAGTGATCGTCATGGGGTACATACCCTATGCTCTCATGCTGTCACATGATCGTCATATGTCAAGACAAGCTCTACTATCGCAATAAAGCCATGTAATTAAATTTAAATATAAATAGAAAAATTTACAAGACAGTATTGATGGGAACTTGATTTGCAGTTTATAATTATTATTATTTTCACAGGGGAGAAAGGAAATCAGGAAGAGGTGGGATATGATTGAGACAGCTTTAGAATGTTTGACTACCAAGTCCGAATTAAATGTATTTGATATAGAGGTAAGAAGAACTCTTCATCTGAAATCTGCTATAAAACAATGTGTATCTTTAAATAATATTCAGGGCCTCTTGGGGTTAAATTGGGTATATGTTCCCCAGTTTGTGGAATGAAATTACAAGCAATTTTTTCTAGATACATTTATAAGAAAATAAAATGGCATTAACTTATTGAAAACATTAAATATTTGTTGAAATTTATCTAGTAATTTCCCTTAAATATTTATAGATTCAAATTGGGTGCAACAAGCATGTTTGACAATGCATGCTTTTCTTGATATCCTAAGATTTGCAGTAAACTGTTACATACTTTATTTAGAGAATAAAAATTAAATGATTGCAGTGCTAAATCATGGTATCGTATTTAAAAAAGGTTATAGTTAAGAGTTCAGCATCAATCTCAATTTTCAGGACGCTATCTTGCTCTACAACAAGAGATATGATAAGAAGTGGGATTTCGCAATGCTCAAAGAATATGAAGAAATGGTGAGTTTTGTCAGAAAACTTGTCTGTTGATATGAGATACATATTGATGATAGTTAAAAGTGTCCATTCCTTTAGATTATATAGAGCATTTTATTTATTTATTTATTTATTTATTTATTTAGGCACAAATAAGAAATAAGATGTTCGCAAGAAATTTGATTTATTTGGATAATTTATGAATTTGGATTTTAATGTTATACAACAAATATTCATAGTCAGATTGAAGATATCTGGAAGCTCCCTTTGGATTGCTTATTATATTGAGTATGAATATTAATGTTTAAAACTTTCAGTTATTGGATGAACAGAAGAAAGACTTTGTCAATACCATAAAACAAATAGCCCTCCTGGCAATCAAATTACCAGATGTTTGTACTCAGGTAAATTAGACTTGGACCGTCAGTGTGTTCATATTTTAAGAGACTGGAAATATTCCTTTTTGTTTAAATAAAAACTAAATATTGTATTTGAGGTCAAATATGATGTGTTTAAGACTGTGCTGAATGCGGAATGAGTCAGATAGGTACACAGTAAATGCTTTTAAAGAGAAATGAAGTTGTTTGAAGTGTTTCAAAGATGTTGCAGTGTAGGCAGTCTGCTTCACCAGTACATGTAGCATATGGTTAAACTGTTGGTTAACTGGAGACAGTTTATTAAAATACAATAAAGTATAAAGAATTAAAAAGAAATTTACTTAAGTTTCATGAATAATAAAGCATATTCATATGCTTTCAGGTATTCTTTATTTTTACAAGTCCTAA